TTAATTCAGAAATTGTATTCTTCATTTCCTCTCGTCTCTTATTGATAGTTTCTGTGTTCTTTTTCATGCTTATGTAGTTTGCAGCAAGTTCCTCGTAGTTTCCCTGTAGTTTTTGGTAATTCTCTCTGACCTGACTGAGCTCATTCAGCTTCCTTAGAACCATTGTTTGGAACTCAATATCTGATAGTTTACTTGCCTCTATTTCATTTAGTTCTCTTTGTGGGAATTCCTTCTTTCCCTTCAAGTGGGGCATATTTCTTTGTCTTCCCATTATTTGTGAGACTCCTGTTTTGCTTCTGCTTCTCAAGTTGATCTGTCTTGACCTCCTGACTTTGTGGTATGAACTTCTATGGTTGGAGACCACTGCTTTTACTTTCTGGATCTACCTCTGTTGATGTCAGAAATTGACCCTGTCTGACCTTAGGCAGTCTGTTTGAGACTTCCAGGAATCTGCTGTTTGTGGCTATCTCCCGCAGCTGTTAATCTGCTCACTCTGCACTCAGCAGGCCGCCTTAGAGAGCTCAGGGCGGGGGGCGGGGGGGGGTGTCCCTACTGGGGGCGTGGTTATTGGGTCCACTCTTGCTGCTGCAGTATGGGGGAGGAGTCTGCACTGGGATCCCGTTGGCTACTCTCCCAGTTCTCTCCCCAAAGCCTCCTTCCCCAGTCTCTCCTCAGGCGATTCTAGCCCACTCTGTCCCCACCTTTACCGAAGACCAGGGTAAGTGGCTGCAAATAAAAATTTTGCGTTGGCCCCTTAGAAGGCTCTTTGAGTCTCCAGCTGCCTGTGTCTTGCAGAGAACAACCCTGCCACTTTTTGCAACTGGCTGTTTTCTGTGTACCTTTTGTTCTCTGGTGCTGTGGACTGGAGATCCCCAGTTTTAGTTTAGACCCCGCTGTTTTCAGAGGGATCCAACAGGCCATTTCAATATCCCTCTGGTGCTGCCACCCGTGCACGCCCTGCCCACCTTCTCAGGTCTGTACCGCACTCCTTACAAGTTAGATGGCGCTAAAGCTGGTTCTTCTTCTCCAAGGTTACAAGGCTCTTATCTCACTATTATTCAGTTGTTTATTCCAGGTGGTTTCTTTACAATTTAGTTGTAATTCCAGGTTGGTCCTGGGAGGAAGTCAGTGTTACTTCCACTCACTCTTCCGCCATCTTGATTCTCGATTGTTGTTTTTTTAATTTGAAAGAAAAGCAAAATGATACATTTTTAAACAAAATTCAAATCTTGTCATGCTGCTTTTTGTAACCCTCCAGTGGCTTCTCATCTCAGAGTAGAGGTCAAATTTTTTTAAATGGCTGAAAGTAAGACTTTTCTGGTCATTTTCCTTGAAGACCAAAGAATATTTTTTTCACTCATGTAAACTGTCAGCCTTGGATGGTTCTAATTTTGTGACATTTTTTCTTAATCCCTGACCTTTTGTTGGCCCAAAGACTTGTCTCTTGGACTTAAAAAAAGGAATTATTTTTTTTTCCCATTACCATTTAACCTCCTTATAGTCACCTCCCCCCTGGAATCACCACACTGTTGACCATGTTCATGAGACCTTTTTCCGTCTTGCTCAATCCCTCCACCCCCTAGCCTCCCTCACACCGATAGCAATGATCTTACTCTCTATTAATGTTTCTATTTTGCTTGTAGTTCAGTTTGTTAGATTCCACATATAAATCAAATTGTATGGTATTGGCCTTCTCTGACTGGTTTATTTAATTTTTTTAGATCATTTAAGGTAAACAGTTGAAGACAGCAAATGTTCTGTGGGTAGCTATGGTTTTAAAGCATGTTTACCATTCTAGTTTTTGGTTCTTACTTCACTGTGAACTACTTTCTTTTAAGCTTCACATATTTTAGAAGGTTGTCATGTTTTATTCAACATTTATTGGTGTTCTTCAGGAAATCTGATGCACTAACTACATATAAAGGGTATCCACTGTCACAGTCATAATATACAACAGTTCCGTTACATAGTCTAAGTCCTTCATGCTGTCCCTTTATTGTCAACTCCTACCCCCTCACTAGCCTATGAAAAATTGACATTTTTCTACCCCCACTGTTTTTTCTTTCCAGAATGTCATGTAAATGGAATCAAAATATGTATTTTTGGAGTCTGGTATTTTTCAATTAATAAACTATATTTAACATTTATCCATATTATAGCATGAATCAATAGTTTGTTTCTGTTTATTGCTGGTTAATGTTCCATCATGTGGAAATATAAAAGTTTGTTGATCCATTCACCTTTTCAGTAACATCTGGATTTTCATTTTTGGGCAATTATGGATAAAGTTGCTATAATCTTTACTGTACAGATGTTTGTCTGGACATAAGTGTAAATACCTCTGAGTGTGACTGTTAGATTGTGTGTGAAGTGTGTGGTTAACTTTATAAAAAAACTACCAAACTCTTTTTCATCATGGTTGCACAGTTTTGCATTCCTATTAGCAGTGTATGAGACTTTTTTGACCTTTTTTTTATATTCCCACCAACATCTTCTTTTTTAAAAATAGAATTTCTTGAATTTTATCATCCCAGATGCCTTCCATTATATTCAGTAATTGTTTTTTTTCTTTTCTCCTTCATCCCAAACATTATATAAGATTACAGAAACTTTTCTTTATGTCTTTGACCTATATCAGTGCCTAAGAAATTATAAAGATACTCTTCTTAGATAAACAAATAAATTGACCTTGGGTTAGACAGAAAATATAAGAAGATATGAGACTGGTGTAATGGAACAAAATAGTCTGTGAAGTAAAGATAAGTAAATGAAATCATCTTGCTATCTTGGTAGAAATGAATAGGGAGAACTAAAGAAGATAACCAAGGCTAGTATCTAAGAAACATTATGCAAGAGGGAAAGCAATTGGTTAGGTATTGTGCTCTTTTCATTATTATCTTAGATTTACTATGGGTGTACTTTTATTTCCCTTTGTAAAGAGGTATTGAGTAAACCACAGAAGAATGGTTTCCAGTCACTTACCATCAAGGTGAAGGTGAGGAGAGGTTTACTACAAGAGGACAACACAAGAATATGTAGGAATAATAGACTGTTGTGTATCATTATGACGGTGGTAGGTACATGACTTCAGTCCTTATAGGCCTGTTTCTTTTGTCTGCTTTTTCTCTTGTTTTCAATCATTTTTGTACCTTCATTCACATAGTTATTTGTTGAGTGCTATATATTGTAAACAAAAATTAGAAAATTATTTAGAAGACTTAGATGATTTCATACATCTTCAGTGAAGATTTAGGTTTACTTATGGCAAGCAATTTTGAATTATTTTATTCCAAATTTCTGGGTTTGAGATAATTCATATATAACTTAGGCTTCAGACTCTGTCCAGAGCAGTCTACTGTTTCTCCTTTGTTTTTCATGGTAGCCCTCAGAGTCCCCATCACAATGTATGGAGAATTAATGTTGGGCTCCATTCTACAGTTATTGTTGCCCAAGCCCTATGAAATGGTCTAAAACACTGCCTTGTTTCTCCATTTCTCAGTTGCCTTTTCCAGATTTAAGACTTCCCTCAATGGAAAAGTAGCCACCAAATGTTTGGGTTTTTTCCTCTGAGTTTTCATATTTTTCAACTTTGAGCCCATTAATTTTTTATTTCAGTATTAACTTTTTAATGCTTTCAATCAGGTACCTTTTATATTTTGTCCATTTTGTGTAATTATTCTAATCAAGAAGGTTAGTCTCAATTACCTAGCCTTCTCTTGCCAGAAATGGGTGTTTAAGATTCAGGAACTTATATTTAAATTGAAACCTGAAGGATGAGAGTCATAAAGTATCTCATATAGGACAGTCCAAAGATGTGGAACCAGCTCTAACTAGTTGTAAGTTCAAATTGGCTGTGTGATTTTTTTTTTGGAGCTAAAAGAAATCAAGTATGTTTGGAAAATAGAAAAGATTCATGAGGAAATCAGATACATAAGTACCAGACTATGAAGGGCTTTGCCAAAGTCATGAAAACCATTTGGATTTTATTCTAAATTTAATTTGAAAGTCATTTAAAAGTTTTAGTCAGAGATAGCAAGTCACAGTCTGAATCTGAATCAGAATCACTTGGTGGAATCTATTAAAATTAGATTTTTCCTCAATCTTTTTCTGATTCACTAGATTCAGATCTAATTAGTCTGGCGTACTACCTGAGCATCTTTAATTTTAACAAGCTTCCCAGGTGATTTTGATTCCCACCAAAGTTTGAGAACCACTGACTTATAAAAGGATTTCTTAGTCTCTCCCCTTATCTTCTCAGTAGATTTTTCAATATTCTTCCATCTCTTATGTACCCTTTTTACATGTTAATATATGAGGTCATTCTTAGCTAATATTTTTTCAAATTCTAGGTAGCAACACATTACTGCAACATGAAATTAGTGAATTTTTATTATGCGTGTGTGTGAGAAAGAGAAAACTAGAATAGAAAGTAGGGTATTTACTGCTTTATGAAACTATAAATGTTGCTGATTGTGATGTGAAAGGTAAGTAAACAACAGGTCAGTAAACAACATTTTATAATCACTAATGTAAGCCATTTATTTCTTATAGATATAACTTTCATATGAAAGTTATATCCATAAGAAATAAATGGCTTATATTACATATATATGTGTATATCTACATATATACATGTATATATGTAGATATACACATATATATATTTTTTCTATGCAGTCCTTTTTACTATGCAGTCCTTCTGAAATGACAACTGAAATTTTTTATTATTTTTTTATCTTTCAGATTTGCCTTCAAGGTGTGCAAATAAATACTTATCTTCAAGAAAGGATATTTATGAAACAGAATTATCCCAGTGGGAAATGAATGACAGGCTTGAAAACTATGATCTTAAGGAGTCCAGGTCTAGAAATTATTGGGAAGTCAGAGGCATATTGGAAAATCAAAAGGAATATGTCAGGCAAGGAATGATTGTATACGAAAAAATGTCCATTTTCAATCAGCATACTTACTTATCTCAATATCCCACGTGTCATTCTGAGAAACCCTATAAATGTAAGGAATGTGGGAAGGCCTTTAGACGAGCTTCCCACTTAACTCAACATCAGAGTACTCATACAGGTGAAAAACCCTACGAATGTAAACAATGTGGGAAAGCCTTTAGTCGTGATTCACAGCTCAGTCTTCATCAGAGACTTCATACTGGTGAGAAACCGTATGCATGCAAGGAGTGTGGGAAAGCCTTTACTCAGAGCTCACAACTTATTTTACATTATAGAATTCACACTGGTGAAAAACCGTATAAGTGTGAACAATGTGGGAAAGCGTTTATTCGTAGTTCACAACTAACCCGACATCAAAAAGTCCATACTGGTGAGAAACCTTATGAATGTAAAGAATGTGGAAAGGCCTTTACTCAGAACTCACAACTTACTCTACACCAGAGACTTCATACTGGCGAAAAACTCTATGAATGTAAAGAATGTAGAAAGGTCTTTACTCAGCTTTCACAGCTTATTCTGCATAAGAGAATTCATACTGGTGAAAAACCCTATCAATGTAAGGAATGTGGGAAAGCTTTTATTTGTGGCTCACAGCTTTCCCAACATCAGAAAATTCATAATGGAGAAAAGCCATACGAATGTAAAGAATGTGGGAAAGCCTTTATTCGTGGCTCATTACTTATGCAACATCAGAGGATTCATACTGGTGAAAAACCCTACAAATGTGAACAGTGTGGGAAGGCCTTTATCCGTGGTTCACAACTTACTCAACACCAGAGAATTCATACCAACGAGAAGCCCTATGAATGTAAGGAATGTGGAAAGACCTTTAGTCATGGTTCACAACTTACACAACATCAGAGAATTCATACTGGTGAAAAACCCTATCAATGTAAGGAATGCGGAAAAGCCTTTAATAGAGGCTCACTCCTTACACGGCATCAGAGGATTCATACTGGTGAGAAACCCTATGAATGCAAAGAATGTGGAAAGACCTTTAGTCGTGGCTCAGAACTTACTCAACATGAGAGAATTCACACTGGTGAGAAACCCTATGAATGTAAGGAATGTGGAAAGTCCTTTATTCGTGGTTCACAACTTACTCAACATCACAGAATTCACACTGGTGAGAAACCTTATGAATGTAAAGAGTGTAGAATGGCCTTCACTCAGAGTTCACATCTTTCTCAACATCAAAGACTTCATACTGGTGAGAAACCCTATGTATGTAATGAATGTGGGAAGGCCTTTGCTCGTGGATTACTGCTTATACAGCATCAGAGAATTCATACAGGTGAGAAACCTTATCAGTGTAAGGAATGTGGAAAGGCCTTTATCCGTGGTTCACAACTTACTCAACATCAGCGAATCCACACTGGAGAAAAACCCTATGAATGTAAGGAATGTGGGAAGACCTTTAGTCATGGTTCCCAACTTACTCTACATCAAAGAATCCATACTGGTGAGAAGCCCTATGAATGCAAAGAATGTAGAAAAGCCTTTACTCAGAGCTCACACCTTTCTCGACATCAGAGAATTCATACTGGTGAGAAACCATATCAGTGTAAGGAATGTGGAAAGTCCTTTACTCGAGGTTCACAGCTAACTCAACATCAGAGAATTCATATTGGTGATAAAGCTTTTAAATATAAGGAAAGTGGGACAGACTTTACTCATGGCTCACAAGTTTATATATGAATTTTTTTTATTTGTGATTAATACAGGTAGACTTCTGTGGTCATTAATCCATTATCATCAGAGAATTCTTAAAATTTGAATATGGGAACACACTTGCCTCATAAAGCTCAGCATCAGTAAATTTATATAGGGGAAGATAACAATAATGTAATCCATGTAGAAAAATCTATTATTACTGAAAACCCATTAAACTTTAGCAAATTTTAATAGACCATAATTTGTGTAATAAATGTAGGAAGAACTTTAGCCATAGCACATGTCTTGACTCCATCAGTTGCTTTCCTTTGTGACACTGATAATTAACCACTACTTTTGTTTAATCATTTGTAAGAAAATATGCCTTCCTTATCAGATTCTTGAAAGTATGGTGTAAGTTATTACATGTAAAGCTTTTAGAACAGTGCCTTGAACATAGCATATCACAGATATTAGCCATCGTTACAGTGTTAGATAATTTGCATGAGAGGAGATTTATAAGTATAATAAATATTAAGAAATCTTTCATTTAACACAACCTCAATTATCTGAGGGAGGCACTGTATGCTATAGTAAGTGTGAAAAAGCTTTCATTCATATTTCTTTCAATATACTATAAAAGAAAATTCATACTATACAAAAAAGCACTGTAGATTTAACCTGTGGATAGTTGAAGATGTGTTAAGTGAATTGTGACAAAGTCAAAAACTCATAATTTTTACTGTTTCTGACCACAATTTAAGAATATTATTTAGAAATGAAAAAATGTGGATAGCCAAAATAGATCTTTCTACTTGGAACTTTTTTAAAACTTGGGTTTACAGCTTTTGATTAAAATAAAAATAAAAACTGCCATTACAGACTATTTTGCAATGAAGGAATGAGTCTATGTCAGAGTACTGTTTTCTTGTACAATATCAATTTTTCCTTCTATTGTAACAGAATTCTTGGTTGAAAACCTGTGTCACCTTCCCTTGCAGATAAACAAAGTGGAAGTGGTATTTGTATGAGTGTAACATTTAAGAAATCTTTGTTTTTCCTCTCTACTTCATTTTTTTCCCCCTGTGTACAACATGGACATTTAATCTGCATCTCTGGCAGTTTTATAGGAACTTTCAGAATGGTATTAAGGATGGTAGAGCAGAAGCACAGAACAAATATACACCTCTGCTAGTTTAATGGAATAGCCATAACAACTCTGGTCTTCTTACTTCCTGTATTTCTTTATATAAAAATGAAAATAAACTTGTTGATGCAGTTGTCATTTTTATTAGTCAAATTATTAATGATATAAAATTTTGTATCTGGATGTGGAGTGGTGTGGGTAAAGAAATCTCAAATGTGTCATTGTTTTAGGGCTATGTAGAAAGAGAATTACCTATCTCAGACTAGAAAACTGAAGATTATTTTTATACACAGACATTTGGTCAGACTCCTACTCTATCTCACAAGGCATATCCTGTGCCAATTAAGACTGTTGTGTTAGAGGAAATGATGGGAGTGATTCAGAATGCTTCTCATGGCATTCAGTAATGTTTTGTGAAAGAAATTTAATGTAGAGTTAGCTACAAGGACTAACAGATTGAAAACAATATTGTTCTGTTGAGAGATGCAGGTGCTCAATCCAGGTTGATGGTAAATTTCAGAACTTTGATCATTGTGGGAATCAAAAACCCAACTGATTGTCTTTAACTGAAGCCACTTAACAGTGATTTAAAGTGTCAGCCTAAACAAGAAATGAGACCATTGCCCATCCTTGCAAAGGCAGTGAATCTGTTAGCAAAACAAAAAAGTTTAAAATGTTTTCTCCAAACCTACTGTTCTTATGTATTAAGTGTTTACTATATTTCAGGCACTCTCTTAGGTGTTTGGGATATATCAATGAGCAATTCTAACAGGAGGTGAAAGAGTAAACATTGCAGAGTATGTTAGAAAATGTTACTGGGAAAAATTAAAAAAAAAGTTGAGGGGGATATGACAGTTTAGGCTGCTATATGAAACAGAATGATCAGGGTAGACCATGGAGAAGGAAAGATCTGAGTCAAGATTTGAAGGGGTGAAGGAATAAGTGGTTATCTAAGGGAAGGGCATTCCAGGCAGAGAAAAGGCCCTATAATGAGACAATGGCGGTGTACTTGAGGAACGTCAGTGAAGCTATAGGTTTTTGCTAGTGGGTGCTTGATGAAGGAGCTCAGAGAGATAATGGCCACATCTTGTAAGTCATTGTAAGCATTTTGTATTTTATTGAAGTAAAGGCACAGCTATTGGAGAGTGCTGAGTAAGAGGATATTATCTGACATGTTGCTATTGTGTTTAAAAACACACACAAAAACCTAAATGGCAATGAGTTGGAAGCTATGGCATTAATTCAGATAAATGATACTAGTGGCTCAGACCAGAGCAGTAACAATGGTGGGAAGTGGTTGAAGTCCAGACATGTGATAACTATGATGGAGCAAGCAATTTTTGTTTAGGGGGTAGATGTCAAGTGTGAGAGAAAAATGTCCAGAACGAGTTTGACTTGAAAGTTTAGGTCTCAAGTAACTGGGAAAATGTTGCTCTCATCAACTGAGATGGGGAAAGCTGAAGTTCCATCAGGATTTGTAGGGAAAGTTGGAAGTTCGTTTCTGAACATACTGGGTTTGGTGTGTCTTTTAGACACAAAATGACAATATTGAGTAAGCACTTGGATGATCTAGCTTGGACAGTCAAACCTCGGTTTTTGAACATCTCCCATCTCAAACAATTCAGTTCCCAACCAAGCTGTTCATGGAAGAAGTATCTCAGTAGTTGAACACAACTTTGGTCCTTGACCCAACAATTCCTTCATGCTGATACCTGTTGAAAAATAATTCTACTTTTGAAAAAATTGTTTCCCAAACAGCATTCTGGAACAAATTAAATTTGAGATCCAAGATTCCACTGTACTATTTTTGTAGAGATTAAGTTAGTAGTTATTACCTATACTTATTTAAAACCATGAGACAGAATACGATCATTAAGGACCAGAATGTAGTGAGAGAAAAGAACATCAAAGACTGAACCCTTCCCGCCGCCCCTGCTTTAGGAGTTCCAGGATAAAACACCAGCAAAGGAGAATTGGTGAAATGGAAGGAAACCCAACAGTGTAGTATCACAGAAGCCAAATGAAAGTCAAAGGAAGGATGACCAATGGTATCAGATACCACTTGCAGATCCTCTAATAAGAGGCCTTCTAAATAGCTATTGGACTTAGCAATATGGATGCTATCATTGACCTTGAGAAGAGCAAGGATATTTTTTCTTTGTTTTGGAGTGAAAGCCAGATAAAAGAATGAAAACTGGTGACTGTGAGTATAGAGACAACTTCTTAGAGGCATTTGCTGCTAAAGGGAGAGAGGGAGGTTAATAATTAGGAGCAGCAGGAATAGGAGAATGGTGTAAGGGTTGGAGAAGTAATAGCAATTCTGTATGCTGATGGGAATAATCCAGTAGAAGGGGGAGAAATTATTCTAGGCAAGGAAGAGTCACTGGAGCGATGGCCTCACACAGGTAAGATTTAACAGATGAAGGATTAGCTTTAGATAATATGGAACATTAATTTCTGGTAATAGAATAACAATATGTGGTGCATATGCTGAGAAATGAGTACATGAGGTAGAATAAATCTTGGAAAGTGGTCTTTTGATTCCCTCAGTGCTTTCATGAAGTATTAAGCAAAGATAGGTGAAATTTATGGGAGTTGAGAGGTTTGGGGTTTTAAATAAAATACATGAAATAGTCATTAAAGTGAGATATATTTATTTAAAATTATTGCTTTTATTATATTCTTTCCATTACCATTTATGACCCCATACCCTCTTCCACCTCTATCTATCTACTCACCCCACAGTCACCACAGTGTTTGTGTCCATGAGTTCTTTCTCTTTTCAGCTTGACCCCTCCACTTCCCAAGCCTGCCAAAATTGTCAGTGTCCATTTTATCTAGGTCTGTCTCTATTTTGCCTGTTCAGTTCATTAGATTGCATATATGAGTGAAATCACTGGCTTATTTTACTTAGCATAATGTTCTCCAGGACCATCCATGCTGTCACAAAGGGTAAAATCTTCTTTTTTATTGTAGAGTAGTATTCCATTGTTTAAATGTACCATAGCTCTTTTTGCTTACTCATCTACTGATGGACATGGGCTGCTTCCAAATCTTGGCTACTGTAAATAATGCTACAAAGAATATAGAGGAGTATATATTCATTCAAATTAGTGTTTTGGGGTTTCTTTGGATAAATTCCCAGAAGTGGAATTGCTAGATTCTATTTTTAATGTTTGAGGTAACTCACTGCTTTCCACAGTGGCTGCAATGACCTGCATTCCCACCAGCGGTGCAGAATTCCACCACTTTCCCCTGCCCCACCCACCCCCTTTCTCTACATTCCTTACCAGCACTCGTTTCTTGATTTATTGATGATAGTCATTCTCATAGGTGTGAGGTGATATTGTGCATTTAATGTACATTTCTCTGATTAGTGATGTTGACATCTTCTCATATGTCTATCAGCCATCTGTATGTCCTCTTTGCAGAAGTGTCTATTCAGGTCCTTTGGCCAATTTTTTTTATTGGACTATTGTGTGTGTTGAGTTTTAAAACTTCTTTATAAATTTTGGATATTAACCCCTTACTACATGTATCAGCAAATATGTTCTTCCATTCAGTGTGTTGTCTTTTCATTTTGTTGATGTTTGTCTTTGCTGTGCAAAAACTTTTTAGTTAGTCTCAGTTATTTTTTTATTTTTTTCCTTGCCTGAGGAGATATATCAGAAAAACTGCTGCTACAAAAATTTTGAGATTTTACTGCCTCTTTTATTTCCAGTACATTTATGCTTTCAAGTCTACATTTGTCTTCAATCCATTTTGAGTTTTTTCTTGTGTGTTGTGTAAGACAGTGGTCTAGTTTCATTTTTTGTTTTTTGCAGGTATCTGTCCAATTTTCCCAACATTGTTCCTTAAATAAACTATCTCATTGTATGTTTTAGCCTCCTTTCAAATATTAATTGACTATAAAGGTGTGGGTTTACTTCTAAGATCTCTGTTCAGTTCCATTGATCTATATGTCTGTTTTTATGCCAGTATCATGCTGTTTTGCTTACGATGGCCTTGTATGACAGTTTGATGTAAGGTAGAGTGATTCCTCCACTTTTGTTCCTATTCTCAAGATCGCTGTTGATCTGCTGGGTATTTTGTGGTTCCATCTAAATTTTGGAATATTGGTTCTAGTTTTGTGAAATACGCCATTGGTATCTTGCTAGGAATTATCCTTAATCTGTAGATCACTTTGGGTAGTATGGACATTTTCATTATCTTAATTCTTCCTATCCATTAACACATTACATGCTTCCACTTACTTGTATCTTCTTCAGTTTTTTAGTGTCTTTTAATTTTCTGAGTAGAGGTGTTTTACATTCTTGGTTAAATTTATTCCTAGGAATTTTATTCTTTTTGAAGCAATTGTGAATGAGATTATTTCCTTAATATCCATTTCTGATAGCTCATTCTTGGCATATTAAAAATGCAACTCCTTTTATGGATCTTAATTTTGTATCCTGCTACTTTACTGAATTCATTTATTAGTTCTAGTAGTTTTTTGGTGAAATCTTTAGAGTTTTCTCTATACTGTATTTTGACACCTGCAAATAGTGACAGTTTTACTTCTTTCTTATTTGGATATATTTTATTACTTCTTGTTTGATTGCTGTGGCTAGGACTTCCAGTATTATGTATAATAAGAGTGTTGAAAGTGGACATCACTGTCTTCTTCCCAATCTTAAGGGAAACATGTCATTTTTGTCCATTGAGTATGATGTTGAGTATGTTTGTCATATATGGCCTTTACTACACTGTGGTATATTCCCTCCAGTTTCACTTTGCTGAGCATTTTTATCTATGGATATATTCGTGTGGTATTTATCCTTCATTTTGTTTATATGGTGTATCACATTTATTAGTTTGCAGATAATAATACCAAACTTGCATCCCTGGAATAAATCCCGCTTGATTATGGTGTATGGTATTTTTGATGTATTGCTGTATTTGGTTTGCTAATATTTTGCTGAGGATTTAGAATCTGTGTTCATCAGGGATATTGGCATAATATTCTTCGTTTATAGTGTCTTTATCTGATTTGGAATTAGGATAAAGCTGGCCTCATAAAGTGACCTTGGAAGTCTTCCCTCCTCTTGAATTTTTCGGAATAGTTTGAGGAGGACAGGTATTA